AAAGCGTCACTATGATAACGAACCAGAGTGATTAGGAAAAGAAGGCGATTGAAGACCTATCCGACGAACCACACTTAACTTCTGAAGAAAAGGAAAAATCTAGGCAACTGAACAATAGTGGAATTTACCAATTCACTGACATACAGTCTTTTCAGATACTTATTTTCGATATTACATCCACGGCAAAGAAAACATTCAGGCTACTGTGATTTCAAATCCAAAATAAAGTCTATATTATAGTATGCTGTGATATTCACTCATTATATACGAGTATTCTCATTATCGCGTTTTGATATCATTTTCAGTTTACTAGAACCAGGCACAGTCGTATTACAAGGATGTTTACTGGACAGCAGCGAAATAATCAATAGCTTACAATTCTGTCCAGAATGTAATTACTTTACATTTAAGGGGAATTCATATAGACGGACAAATGGTGTTGCTATCGATTGACTGATTTTTCCAATAGTTGCTGGTCTTTTTATGAATAGATTCGGGGATAACATCTTTTCAAGCATACTCACGCCTAAAATATGGTTAAGATAGGTCGATGACAATTTTGTTGTGCTGAAACAGAATCTACACAATTCCTTCTCAGAGTAACTAAACAATCCATCGCTGAAAATCCAGTTTACTTCAGATACAGAATCATACGTCACTGAACTACCATTTCTAGACTGCCTAGTTGAGAGGAGGGAAAACAGACATTTTAGTATATCCATATTCAGGAAGAAAACCCATTCCAACACATATTTACACTTCGAATCGCCGCAGCCCATCAAAGCAAATCTAGCAGTTTTTTGAAGTCTTCTTTGACGAGCACACCTATTGATACCATTTGCGAAGGGAAAAATAGATTACTGAGACTCTCAAACAAAATAACTACCAAAATAACTTAATCAGCAAAATTAACAATGGCATTAAGTAAGGTCGGAGACGCATTCCGAAAACATGGAACTAAACAGTAGTCTTTACTTGTAGAGTAGAGACGTCAGAGGATATCAGAAGAGACCCCAATGAGCAGGGAGTCAGAGTTTTCTTCCAAACATCAGACACAATGCGAAGCAACTTTGTCCACATAAAGGATCAAACCCCTTAAAGATTATGTATCCAATTGTGTCTATAAAAAAAACACGTGGAATGTGTAGCGTGATATATCGGACAAACATCTCGAGAAATAAAAATCGGAATGAATGATTACCGTAGAGCATGCTTTCGACCACCGAGAAATACAGTTGAAGAAGAAAAGCCTGAAAATTTATCACTCGTAGGCTACACGCTAAAGAATCAGACCACAAAATTGATTTTGACAATATTGAAATCATCATCCAGAAAAATTTCATTAATTACGAAGAACGTCTCATATCATCAGAAGCACTTCCTTTCAAATGTAATCCAAACTGTCTGAATAGGAATGATGGACTAAAACAGAATCTGACCTGGTTACAACACCTCCCTCCAACATGAAGTGACAAAATCAACACGAATATAATAAGCTTCTTGATTATGTAAAAACATGCTGGTTTTATAACTTGATACACTCATCATCTAATAATGTACACCTGCTTTTGTTATCTTTACCAAGTGACAACTTGAAAACTTTAAAATTACTCCATGCTGATGAATCATGGCTCTATTTCTACATATAAGCTGAGAATTAGTAAATTCTGGTTTAATGACCCTTTGATTAAGCTACTAGCGAAACGTTAGTAGGAACAATATCGCTTTGTTTTTTTGCATTCGGAAATATAAACAACCTTCATTATAATGAATATCATATTCCTAATGCCCAATTTTTTTTCAAATTCTTAAAAGTGAACTTTGTTTGGACATGATCTAGTAATTCATGTGTTGCGGTTCGAAACTCTGATAATAAATTTCAAAATGTCTGCACTATTTGTCCCAACCGTTAGGTATTTAAAGTACGAAACAAAGCTCGGCGGATACGAAACCGGAAGTTATTGAAAGTATTCAGAGCCAACAAACAGGCTCGGGAACACTATACAGCATAATTAGCGAATGGAGAACACAAAGGTATATACAGTTCGGTAACAGAACATTTGGTGAATTCAGCCCATTCAACTTCATTTGAAAAGTCTTTCAAAGTCACATACACCGTCCGGTCACATATATTATAGGAAGTGAAATCAAAGCATTAAGGAATAGCTGATGTACTGGAGACTCAAAACTGAAGCCTGCTCTATATGTGTTCAAACGAAATAGGTCCAACCGTTGTCCTTATACTGGCCATCATGCAAAGGGATCCCCGCCAATAATGATTAACCCGTTGCCTTTCTCGACCAACTTATCTGTCTATGTCTGTTATTTTCACGTTTTTAATTCTTTTCTTCAATACTAGATGTGAAAGCTGCTTTTTAAAATTTTTTAAATGTCTATTTTGTTGATAATATGTCATTTAGCCACACTAACACGAAGTGACACGTTTTTCCAGTAATTATAATTTTATTGTGTCTTTCCTAACCGATCTTCCAGATTATTACAATTTGTAGTTTTATCAACTTGACCTTTGACCTAAAATATTTCCAGAATACTACCACAACTTATCTTCTGTTTGATATAAGAATAAAACTTGTGCACTGTGGTAGAGTGAAATTCCATTATGGGTAAATTTTTGTTTTGATAAAGTCTCACAGTGTTATACAGTAATGTTTACTGATGACGTTTCGAGCACAATTTATTGCTTGATATGATTATGAGCAATAAATTGTGCTCAAAACGTCATCAGTAAACATTACTGTATAACACTGTGAGACTTTATCAAAACAAAAATTTACCGATAATGGAATATCTTCTGTTTATTAAACTCAGTAAATTTATGAATTCAAGCCTTCCCTGAAAATAATTCTGGGAATTTCTCACACAAACAATACAAAAGCTCGACTGTACAGCCTAGCTGATGACTTAGTTGCAAAGAAAAAACTCTTCGCGAAAACCTTATTTTCACTAATCTTGCGTAAGCACAATAACTTCTGTGTAGCACAAAGTCAACATAACACTCCATATTGATCTCGCAATATGGGTTGGTGATAATGTTGGATAGGTTATCAATATGATAAGTATATGTGAAATCTGTGGTAATTTCAATCTGATAGCCTGTATGTACGAGATGAGCCCAGTACAGATTTTTGATAAGATTAGATTTTTGATTAGTTGCCGTTACCCACCTCCATCTCTTCTTGATTCCCAACTTGCTGTAATGGATTTATCCGAGTAAATGAAGGGAGAATTTACTATGAAGAACGTTGGGAATTCATCATTGGCTGTATTCATATTGTTCATGACGAAGCTATTAACATTACTGATTGCTTTAATTACTGTAGTAGTTGAATTTTCTTTACGTAAAATAGGATATGCAGGGTATTACTACAAGCAAAATCTCACTATAGGTGAAAGTTTTTGATTCAACAGCATACAAACAGATCATATTTACGCAATGAACTAAGTGAACAATTTCCTTATTTTCTTCGATTACCAATTTAAGTGATTAAATATCATTCTAGACTACAAGGACGGTGATGATGGAGGTCACATAGACAATTCTTCCGACAACGTTTGACCAAGCGACATGAAGTGATGATTCTTCGTCAAGACCACACCACTGTACAACTTGATATAGCAACTACCAGACAATCAACTAATAGTTTCCTTCACTGGATTGTAAAAGCATGCATTCATATTACCGAGTTTCGTTTAGTATTTCCATGTGTGATGATTTAGTTTAAGAGTCCTTCGCTCTACCTGAATCGGACATCCTATTTTTCTGACTGAGTCACATATTCAAAAGACGATTTCATCGTCAAAATACATAACGTCGAAGGAAGAGTCAACCAACACTCAAATTCTCTTAATGAGTGATAGACAAACTCATGAAAAACATAATTCAGAAGAAACTGTTGTACAGATACAAAAATGAAATTTCTAGTGCAGAAATATTAATTTATTCTATAAATTAAAAATGTGAACTGTCAATTAGTCAGGCAGTTACATGCATAATAAAATGTGTACGCAAGCACAAGTGAATATCCCTTGTCACAATATGATTGATAGACCGATGTGTTATTCATGTTATTTCAATGAGCTGACAAAAACTAGAACCAACTGAAAGGGAAAAAGTAACCAATAGAACAACATCATTTTTCTGAGTTTCAATTGAATATATGCCAGTCTGTTGACTGAATATAAACTCCTGATTTACATTAATGAATAAAATCAACACTGAGATCTACAGAGAATGTGATTTGGAATTTTTAAATAACCTCGACCACACCACGAAGGCTTGTCAAGGTAGACTTCACCTCTGTTACAAATTGTTTATGATTTCTCATCTCCAACTAAACCCCACAGCTGATACATAGGGAAATTTCTTAATTTCAAAGTAAAACTGTGAACTTACTATAGCTACGGCAGTGTTCCATAATCCACCAGCCAATTCGGAATATTTCATCTGAAACGAGTTGAGATAAATTACATCCGGAATGTTGATCAAGGATTACAGCAGATCAAATGCACAATTCGAGTATAAGTAACATGCCAGTAAAACTGAGTGTTGTCAAATTGAACAAAACTACAAAATATGTATGTACAACAACGCAGTTTTCCGATTAATTCAATGAATCAGTGAGATAAATTAGGCAACAGTTAAACGCATCTTTTCACAAGAATTAAAGTTTAAAATTTCTTACCACTGTGTAATAGAACGTTTCGTCATTATCATAGAATTACATAGTAATTTGTATTTTAAATATCAAATAAGTGCGAAACTGTTTCTCAGATGGGCGAATGTACTTCAGTTCTTGAATTGCTGCATAAGTACACCTAGTTTCTCCTCCTCTGGTTATGCAAAGATGTAAGGTCTCAAGAATACAGAGATAGGTATAAGGCTGGAATTTCGCGTTAGTAATAGTAATATTTAGTTAACAGTTCTAGTTATGTTAAAACCTTAGAATAAAAAGGATAATTTGATATTTCAGTGGAATTACCTGACGCATTTCTAAAAAAAACAAAACTGCTCCAGTTATCAGAAAAGCGATCGATACAGATATCAGAACTATTATCACCACTGGTTTGAATCTTTTGACATAGATGCAGGCGATAATTGTTAACAAATCTTCCAGAATAACGAAGCCCAATAAAAAGTAACACTTAAAATCAGGCCCTCGGCAATACGTAAAACAGATAGCTCCAGACCATAATGCAATCTGTTGGCAAAAGAAATTAGACATTCTGAACATCTGAGTTGGAAAGTTTTAACATTTTTTTCACAAAATTGACATAAACATAGAAGTTTCATATAAAATTACAGCGAATTTCAGTTAAAATGTCCTTGCAGTGTAACTTTTAGTGATGTGAAAATTCCTCATAGAAAAGTGAATGTTGGTTTCGCGTTTATTGAGTGGGATCAACGTTGTATAACTACAACTGTGGACGGATTCATGAATCCCCAGTATCTTGCATGTACCTAAAGAAAAGGTGTACAATGTTTCTGTTTCTCGTTGCATTTCGCGGTTTAGATGAGAAAACGCAATTTCTGTTGTACTCTAAACCGTGAAAGTGTCAGATCTCAAACGGTGAATCCCGCTACACTTATCAAAATGCATTCACACGTACACAGGGAGGACACATCGATCTGTGCACATAAGGTCTAAAGAACAGATTCGTTGACATATAGATAGATAATTTCACCTCAATTAATTTGTAATCAATCATGATTTTATACTCATCCGCTGAACAAGTTTCGTAATTTTCTTTAATTCAGTGAAGCTTTGCTTAAAAAATAAGGTATACTTGCGATATAGTTCGACGTCAAAGATTCGTGCATGTTGGTTTCAGAGGTTTTTTAAGTCGAGAACATATAATCAACCAAAAAGTCGCTCATACTGGAGTGAATAACAAACCTTAACCTCAATTTCAGTGGATCACTTAGTTCCTGTGAGGCGATATTTTGCCACATCATATTCGACAAACGGTATTTTATATGAGGTATACGGTCGGTGTTGTTGTTGTTTGTGAAAGCAAATCAAAATCAGAAAACTTATTAGGAGAATTAATCTTTTATCATCCGAATGTTAACTTCACAGCTAAACACGTGAAGAATAATACGAAGACTATATAAGAAGTTATTGTTCGTAACAGACCATACAAAATGTGTCTTAACAGTACAGTTGAATGTTAAACAAAGACTGCGATGGATATCTCATTTACGATTAGTATATCGAGAGTGGTTCATAGATAAATCTTCTTCAGAAAGATGCCACAGTACAGCCATCTAAAATACGCTGGGATTCATTTAAATAATTTATAATGAATCAATCTGACTCGGTGATCATATTATTCCAAAAAGTTGTTAACATCTTAGGTGCGGAAACTTACATCTATCCGACAGTTTTGAAGAAAGCTACAAATAACACTCTGCAATTTAGAGGGTGTTACGTACAAGATAAAGTCAAAAAAGACTTGATCTACAAGTAGAATTAGCTGTGCTGCAAAACTCGTGTACATTGACTGCACCAAGTGACTGCTTCAACAATCTGGAAAAGAGCTGTCGCCAATCTTCGACAGTTCGAATTGTGTATTTCAACTTGAGTGTGTTTGTGTAAACAAATAAACAGATCGTAGGAGGAGGTGATTGCCTGTTTGCATAATGCAACTTTTGGTAGAGTGACTGAAATCACCTGCAGTCAAGGTATCAAAATATCCAATTTGTAGACTGGAGACTTAATACTGACTCTATCAAGTCCTTCACTTCTGTCATTAAACAAAGGAAAATGTGTGCAATTGCGGAGGCTTGTGAAATTAGGGTTCGTAAACTTAGTCTCCGTGTACAGAAAGAAATCGCGATCACTCTGAATCCACTACGTCAATTCACCTTACTTATTACCTGTTGTTATTATTGTTATTAATTTATTCTACCTCATTATTATCCTTCATTCATTTGAAAACATCCTTTATCAGTAGTGGTATCTTAAGTCGTTTTACTATTCATATTATTGTCATTGATATTATTATCAATATGACTTAGTTTGATGTTCCACCGAAATTTGGTGAATTTAATAAATTCTGCTTTATTATCCCATGTTGCTTCCTAAAATATAATCCATTTTTGAGTGAATATAAACAATATAAACAAAATTATCTCGAGAAAACGAAGCTTATTCATAAACGTGAATCTCTGAGGAACTTACTATAATTCCTATCAGGATCAATGAAATTCTCAAATTATTCTTAAATACTAAGAATAGAAATACACACAGGATCACAGTCCATACTCTAAAATACAAATGCAAAACAGCTGTAATAAATTCCGGAAGATGAAAGGAGTTTTCTATGTAAAAACATTCAATAGCCCTACATCCATCATTCCTTGCTAGTTCATACTTTTATCCGTGCAAATAATTTGCTGTTAAGAAAAGCAGGAGTTTCCACATATTTGGAACAGTTGAGGAATCATTCCTTGTATATACTCACTCATATGATATCAAAACTACAGCACTGGTTATACGTTTATTGATCCGATACATTATTTAAAATCAGATAAACTCAGTTACGCTATACTGTTCGAATATTCCAAAAAGGTTCATTTTGTTACGTTTCGCAAGTTATTAGTTACCCAAGTTTCAACAAATCCTTTTCGTTTCAAAGTATTCATTGCTTGCCTACTAATACCATTTTAGAAACAAAAGCCTAATATTTGTCCTGGGGAAAAGAATTTTCGATCATGTTTGTACTCTTTCTATTTGTTTTTCTTGTTATTAACAATATTATACAGAGTCCGATAATCGGAATAGTCTTCACTCAACTAGCATCTCAACGCAGGTACAACTGAGGAATTACTAAATATTTATTCACACGGACTTAAATTCAAATATTAGTTCTTTTGCATAACTTTAATCAAACCAATATTCACAGCAAACAGATGGGCATAATTTTGTATCATCGCCGGTAGACCTTGATGATGCCACACATCCGATTAAGACAGTGTCTACGTAAACAAGAAAATACTTCAAATCTATAGTAGTCAATAGTTTCTCTGATTATTTAATCTATAATTTATTTTGATTATAGCTTGATTCCACACCGTATTTTCGCTGCAATTATGAAATTTTAAGCGTGTGATATCGGTAGCCCAACTTCACAGGCCAACCATTGATATCGGGTGTGCGTTGTTAGGGGGTCTAACTTCGGACCATGTGCATGGTCGACGGCAATCTTAACTGCTGTGCCATCACCGGACACCACCATTTCAAGATTTGACTTTTGCGGTTATAATCACGAAGTGATGTGAAGGTATTTTAGGTCATTTACAGTTAATATTGTAAATCTCAAAGATTGCGGGAAGGAAGATTTACAGACAAGTGATTGCTGCATAAGCCGTCCACTGAGCACCAAAACTTTCGTTCGCCTGAAGAAAAAGTATTTAGTTCATGTTAGTAAAAATTCTGATATCGTTCATAGGTAACTGATTCTAAACAAAATCAAGAAAGCTATTTTGGCGCGTTGCCCATGGTTGTTACACATTTGGTGACTGTTGATTTTAGATAGAACCAGTATGTCCTTATTTCTCAGCATGAATGATTTAATGCATGAACATTGCCTACATATATGAGCGATGACATCGATGAATATGTTATTCGTGTGACAATTTCATATCTTACAATATTCAAAAGTTGGAGTCGATATCAAACAAAAAATAAGATTGTAATATCTCAGAAACAAAAATTCGGCCTGAAACATTTATCACTATACACGTGGAAACATGACAACCCTCAGCGTTTGAATTGACAGTTTTCATTTAAACCATAACTGTTCCTCTAAAACATGTCCTCACATATGCACAATGTTCGGAATTGCAATCAGTAATGGGATGTGTCAATAAAATCCCTAAAAAGAATAAAAAGGCGTAAATCAACAGATTCTCTGATGTTGTGATGACTGCTCAATATACATATCAAATATTAAATCTCATAAACCATGAAATCATGAAATAAGAATGCCTAAGATTAAACAAAGAATGCAGCCATTGATGACAAGAAAGTGACAGTAACTACAAATCATAAGAACTGAAGTGCTCACCTCTAAAATGGCAATCATCTTACACCAGACGCTATGAAATGGACTTACATCATTGCTTAACTTATATGTAAATATATATTCACCTAATTCTCTGAACTTTGTCTCAAACTTTGTTTACATTCATGCTGAAGTGTTTACCAACTGGTAATAAAAACTTCAGTGCACATCGAACTTGTTTATATTCAGAAGTAAAATAAAGTCGTCTAATGCATGTTTATTTAATAATTTAGATCACGACTGAAAATATTTTTCTACTATCAACCAGGTGGCTAATTCATAGAACAATGGAATATTGAAAAGTCAAAAAATGATGAAGTTACACTAACATTATTCGTGTGATAGTTTCTTTCATTATGTACGTTTACTGGATGACTGTGTTTCGAGTCGTCAGCGCGTTTATTTTCTACTAGATTTACAATGAACTCTATACTGAACAGTTTCTGCTCCAATCTTTGGAGATCCTGTAATACCTTCAACTACATTTCTTAAAGTAATCGTCATTTTCGTCTTATCGATAATTAGTCAGATAGATATTTTCTTTGGGCTGTGAAATCCACTAGTATTCCTACTTTCACAGTGAATAACTTCAGTATTCTTCAAAATATTGAAGTATAACTTCAATTAAATATATATGATAAAAACACTATGTTACTGAATTCAAGAATGAAGTGGGCTGTTCACTAAATAATTCACAATAAGTTAGCAGAGTCAAGTCTTACACGTTTTTTATCAGATGAAATTTGTCTCAAAAGAGGTATCGCAGAATATTTATGATAAGTCGATAAACCGAAAAATCCGTAACGGCCACTGTTACTCCTTCATGCTGTTATGAAGGAAGAGAGTTTTATAAAGGGAGAATAGCCTGCAGATAAAAAACAATTTTAGCTAATTTTATTTATGTTGACTCTAATAAACGTACGTTTAGTTTACATCCGATACTTTTGAAGCAATATATGTTACTGCTTTGCTCTCTATCTCTAGTTCAATGATCAGTTGTTTACATCCTTTTCATGCATTTTGAAGTTAATGTCAACGAGTTAATTGTCCCTTCACTACACGTTTTTAACCTGTTGCAGAGGCACTATTAACTGAAATAAAAGGAATATATGCTAATTGTAGGGAATAATTATCTGCATTGATGAGTTTAATGAAAAATGATGTAAGACTAACACCTTCAGGTAATGATTGATGAGTGTAGTTACAAAGTTGTCTTTAAATTAGAATTGATTCGTGAATGCTGACAACTGCAAATCAGAAAATTTGTGACGCATAAAGGCGATTGCAAGTAAGGATGTATTGTTCTTCCCAAACTACGATTTTCATCAATCACCAATGGATTTTCTTCAATAGGTGAATAAGTTATCAGGTAGATAGCACGAGCTTCCATGATTAGCATTACATACTAAAGGGAAAACTTCGAAATAGTCAGTCGTAAGGGGAGAGAGCAGTTATGGATATGAGTATTTTGTCTTTAATGAAATATAATATTGAAATCTCCAGAATAAAAACAGAGTGTGAAATGATTCATATTTGCGTAGTAAAACATCTAGAAAAATTTCGAATTTAGCGAAAAATATCAAACACAGGATAAACGTATGATACTTTTTGTCAGTGTGGCAATCGTTGATTCCTACTGACTACTTATTTACACTAAACTGTAAAGCACACGAATAGTCAAATCGTTTCAGTTAACTTCTCAATGTTTACAAAAGAAATAATTCTCAAATCACTTATGAAAGGTAGATTTATCGTTATTGTTTTTTTTTGAATAATGGACTTTGTTCAACCCTAAATACAATAAGTAGTGAAATAATGTAAACATGTTCAGGCGATGGAGAATGTAATGTTAGGGATTATTTTGTTCACTTCACAACTCCCCACTTATTCATTACGCTGAGTTAGACTTACAGTCTCGACGATTTAGAACTCTGTACTCTAAAATTATTCAGTGTTTTTCAGTAATTGTTAGTTAACACAATGAAGACTTTACTCTATATGTGAATTCAACAAATATTTCGTTTATTAATGACGAGATTCAAAGTCTAATATTAAGTAAACACTGAGATTAGTAAACACGTCTGATTCGCATGACAGCTGATTTCATAACGAAGCTGGATTTAATTTAAAATAAGGGTTACTCAGTGACTTGTAATATTCAGTGTAAAATGAACTACACAACCAGTAATATTAGGAAGCGAGATAAAATACAGTACTACAAGTGGGCATAGAGTGAGGTCAAATGAAATTAAGACAGGAAATTCGGCTATCACACCACTCCTTTTTCGTTAACACTTGGAAGTCTGGTGTTCATGTAATTTTCCATCTCAGAATAAATTTATCTGATCGAATCACCCAGTGATGCAGTATTATACATTCACAACAATTCGAACACAATAAAATGTTCATAATCTTATCAAGGCAATAATTAAAATAACTTTCAAACTTTGTTTACAAAATTTCCTTGTTTCACACTTTTTGGTGTAATTGGTAATGATATTTTCACGTTTCTGGTATTAACATTTCGTCTATCATATTGCATATTGTTAGGTGTAGATTGGATGAAAAAGATTCAGTGACCAGCATCTCACTCAACCTGCCCATATTACATTTTATAATTGTAGTGAAGCTTTGTTTATCGGATCAACACTGCACCTTTGCTATCGGAATGACACAACGCCTATACCGGAGATATGGAAAGTGACAAAAAACAACAAAAGGAAGGTGTAGAGATGGAGAGAAAGAAACTAAATATTAGACAATATGTGAAGATGTGGGACTAAAATGAAAGGATAATGAGCAATAACTTATACTGGAAACGTCATCCAGTTGCTACCACCGCATCACTGTATGATTATTATTAAAATGAACTTATCTCATGTGAAATTTGATTCTTCTACTGTGCCCAGAGTTCAACACTTGCATTGGCAAACACATTGTCTTGGTTCACCTCATTATTTTTAGTCGTACTAACACCTTTCGTTTACGTTTTCACAAAAGGCACAATTTACAACAATTATCGTACCACATTTCAGAATTTTTTGGATTGCACTGGTGGGTGAATTTCGGAACACTGCTGTAGGTTTTGTAAGTTAGAACAGATTGCTATCTTACCTATTTGCGAAAGGAATGTCAGTTATGCCAAAACCTTCCTCTGCAATGAATCACTGCCAACATACATTTCAAATCATTAACCTCAT